CGGCCTACGCCAACCCGGTCTGGACGGCGCTCTTTGACTACGAGGCGGCCAGCACCGACGAGCTGACGCTGCGCAAGGGGGACCTGGTGGAGGTCCTCTCCTGGGACTCGGCCATCTCCGGGGACGAAGGCTGGTGGGCCGGGAAGCTGAACGACCGGGTGGGGATCTTCCCCTCCAACTACGTCTCGCCCAAGACGGGGACGTTCCCGGGGCCCGCGGACCCCCCCGAGGCCGACTTCCGGGACCTGACGCTGGAGGAGGTGATCGGGGTCGGGGGCTTCGGGAAGGTCTACCGGGGCAGCTGGCGGGGGGAGCTGGTGGCGGTCAAGGCCGCCCGCCAGGACCCCGACGAAGACATCGGCACCACGGCCGAGCGGGTCCGCCAGGAGGCCCGCCTCTTCGCCATGCTGACGCACCCCAACATCATCGCCCTCAAGGCCGTCTGCCTGCGGGCACCGAACCTGTGCCTGGTGATGGAGTACGCCGCCGGAGGACCGCTCAGCCGGATGCTCGCCGGACGGCGGATCCCGCCCCACATCCTCATCAACTGGGCCGTGCAGGTTGCCCACGGCATGCAGTACCTCCACTGCGGCGCCATCGTGCCCGTCATCCACCGCGACCTGAAATCCAACAACAGTAAGTGAATTTGGGATGGCGGACTGGGCTCTGGCTTCAGGGCCAACGGCAAAGCCTTGGGGGAACAGTGGCCCCGAATTGCAGGGGCACCCATGGGGCAGTCAGAAGAGTCAAGTTGGTGGCTTGGACCTGCACAAAGTCCTGTTTTCAATCGCGTAGGTGTAACTGCCATCTTGACTTTTTTGACTCCCTTCGTGGACGTTCCCATATCCAGGCAGCTTGACATAAATTCTCCCACTGTGCTGTTCAGATGCCCGTCATTCTCAACCACGATTCCCAGATTTCTCAGTTCCACCTGTGGCCACTGGGATTCCGGGAAGGGGGTTACCTGAAATGTCTGGGGGGTGCTAAGAAGCTCACCCCCGCTAGCTAACAACCCCTAGAGGAGCATTGTTCCTTTGTTCGAGCCATCTTTGTCCCTTTGTTCAATGGTGGACCGACATTGCGCTGTTTTTAAAACAACTGGGATGAAACCGCAGCACTCAGTGTGGTTCCTTTGACCACCTGAAACTCTTTCCCCTTTTTGATGCGCAGCAGCAGGACGTTCCGGTGCTCCAAAATTACCTGTGAAGGTGACTTCATGGTGTCGTGACCCTTCATCATCCAGCCTGTCTGGGATCAGATCAGTGTTCCTCCAGCTTAGCAACTTTAAGATGGGTGGACTTCAACTCCCAGAATTCCCCAGCCAGCCATGCTGGCTGGGGAATTCTG